GTTCACGGGAGCCACTTGGTGGGCGTGGTGGGAGCACTTTGGTGGCGTTCACGGAGCGCTTTGTGGCGGTGGACAGACTTTGTGGCGACGTTCACGGTAGAGCTTTGTGGCGTTCACGGAGCAGTTGATGGGCGGGGGGCGTTCACCGGAGCCACTTTTTGGAGCTGGCGCTGACCAGCTTTTTGGTGGCCGTCCGTTGCGGACGCTTTGTTGCGTGTCGTGGGAGTAGATTTGGTGGCGTGCGTGGAGAGCTTTGGGGCGTTCACGGGAGCAGAGTTGGTGGGCGTGGTGGGAGCATTTGGTGGGTCTTCACGGAGCAGACTTGTGGGTCGTGCGTGGGAGCGCTTTGGTGCTTGGTGGGCGTTCACGGGAGCAGCTTTGGTGGGCGTTCACGGGAGCAGCTTTGGTGGGCGTGCGTGGGAGCAGCTTTGGTGGGCGTGCGTGGGAGCAGCTTTGGTGGGCGTTCACGGGAGCAGCTTTGGTGGGCGTTCACGGGAGCAGCTTTGGTGGGCGTGCGTGGGAGCAGCTTTGGTGGGCGTGCGTGGGAGCAGCTTTGTTAGCACAGTCTCGTAGAGACTCGCACTAGCAGGGCGGTAATCGTGGGCGTTTCTGCGTACCTTGCAGGTGGGAGACGTTGGATTCGTTCATGCAGCATGATGTTCAGGAGCTGTGTCGCCTGGTAAGTGTGCAGGGTGCGTAAGTTGAATCTCGTGACGAGTTTTGCGGGATGGGCGTACGGAATGAAGTTGCGTCTGTATTATTAGCCGCATTTACAAACGGCTTGACGTAACGTGATGCTTGCCGCGAGATGACTTTAATAAGCCTTATTTAATTAAATATGGAGACTTTTACTGTTCGACACAGAGTGACACATAATAATGCGTTGAAAATGTCTACCGCAGTTGCTGGATAACGTTGAATGCAAAATGAAGGGCACCATGGTGGATGGCACCATACCGAGACTGTTCGAAGGCAAAATGATCGTAAGTATTCGTAATTGTCTCTAGCCACAGTTGAAAAGGAGGTCTGAATTGCTGGGTTTTTTGTTGCTAAGCTGCCAATACTGCCTTAACACGTACACCCTACGGATCCACGAGTTACCTCGTGGGAACAATCAAAACGCATCCCTGCGGATCCATGACTTGAGTCAGCTCGTGGATAGATTATTGGTTTTTGTTACTCTGATTTCCAACAGATAGCAGGCACTACCTACCTAGAAATTAAACAGGGACATTCTATATTACCACAGTCTTACATGAACTAAAGAATACAATGCTTTACCGTTGATTCGAACGTGAAATTAAGAGTTTTGAGACTCGAGGTAAATTGGGGGCTAAAGTCCGTTGAAGGACGCTATTTGTAATCATGGCAGCTCGCGCGAATGTTCGACGTTCTCTGACGGATGAAGAAGTTGCAGACATGTTCTGATTCGGACAGTGATATGTCGTATTTTATGTCTGACAGTAAGTATACATCTATATTACACTTCCTACTAATAACAAAATTTTATAACTCGATATATTTACCAAAATACGGCTACTAGCACGTAAAAATGCACGAAATGTCCGTTTTTGCCATGTTTTCATATCAATATATTATGAAGGGGAACGATTTTCATACTATTTGAACATGTAAGGGTGAGATAACACTCATGCAGAGTAAATGTGTTAGTTTGGTTAGCTTTCCTGCAAAGGAAATGTGGTAAATCAATAAGTGAATATGCGGTAAAAACGCGAAAATCCCAGCGCAGGGCGGTAGGTGCATTGTTAACACCGGCAGCGTTGAACGTGTTAATAAGACAAATTAAGTCGTTATGTTTAGGCCTTGTTAGCGGCTAGCTTCAGACTATTGTTTAATGTTGTTCTGACTGAAAAGTTGCATTAGATTAATGATCAAGAATCAAATACTAGCGTATTCCACCCTGCTCGCCGTTAACCTTTTTTCTGTCATTTTAACCGTTCGAAGAATGTAAGAAAACTAAAAAAAGGTTCAACACTGTCGTGTGCTCGTTTCGAACTTTTTCTCGGCTATTCTAACTTCGTGAAAAATGTGTAGATCTGTAATAAAATGGAAGTCACCTTCCTATGACCTTTGTTGATGGGCAGGTTGTGTATGGTCATTAGATACGGGTTCGTATTGGTTCTGGAATTTCCCGGAATTCTAAAATGATAGTTTCCAGACCTGGAAAATCCTGGATGTGCTGTGGTGCTGTAAAGCCCTGGAAAATGGGCCATTACAATATTTGGAAAATTGTCGGATTTGAGCACATGCCTATTGTTTCCACCTTTTACCAATGATAATTACCAAATTTTATGTACTCTCTAAGAGGCAATAAACCTTGCTTCTTGAGGCGAGAGTTTCTTCAGTAATGGATGTGCACTGATTGTCACTGCCGTTGTTGCACTTGCAGTCATATGTCAACTGCAAACACGTCGAGTACATGTCATCCCGGGTAGAACCCTTCTACGATATCCAGCTCAACGTAAAGGGAAAGAGAAACAGTAAGTCTCATCGTC